AGCCGGCAGCTCCCTCTGGGCTCTCGCCGTATCGCACCACCTCTCCCTCTGCCCATTCGAGCCCGCCGACCCTCCCCAGCCGTCAGACGGCAGCAGCGTGAGCGCCCCTCTCCCCGGCCTCGGTTCACCCCGGTCCCGCTCGGCCCAGCCTCCACCCGTGCCCGCCGCGTCCCGGTGCCGCGGCGGTGGCAGCGGCGGTGCCGGTGTCGGTGCCGGTGCCGGGCGGGCTGGGCTGGGCTGGGCTGGGCTGGGGCGGGGTCCGCAGCGCGCACGGCACCGCCCCCGGCGGGCAGACGGGCGCGGCGGCGTCACGCGGCGGTGCCGCCCCCCGCCCCCGCCCGCCGCCGCCGCCGCCGCCGCCGCCGCCGCCGCGCACCCGCAGCAGCGCCCGCTCCGCTCCGCCGGCGAGCGGCAGAGGCAGCCCCGGCAGCCGCGCCTGCCCCGGCCCGGCCCCGGCCCCGCGGCCCCCGCGCAGGTAAGGCGCGCCCGCAGCGCGGGCGGAGCGGCGCCGCGGAGGACCGGCCCCGCTCCGCCGCGGCGGAGCCGGTGGCGGCGGCGGCGGTGGCGGCGCGAGAGGCTGGTGGGTTTGCGCGCGGCGTTGTGGAGAGGTGGATGGCGAGGAGAGGAGATGGTGGAGCGGAGGTGTAAGTTAAAGGTTGGATGCGGTGATTTATTGCCCCTTGCGAGGCGGGGGGAGGAGGGGAGAGGGGGTCTGCGAGACTTGAGCGATAAAATCAATCTGCTGCATATTCTCCCTGGCGTGAGCTGCCGTGGTGAAACGCGAAGCCGGGGAAGCGATGGGATATCGCAATATTATTGTTATTTATCGGCGGTGGTCTGAAAGAGACGAAGGGCTTGTGCGGGAAGTGCATTGATAATTTGGGACATTTTCTATTGTGTGCCAGAAGAAAGAGGGCACTCGGCTTCTTCGATATGTGTTTGAAACTGTTAAGGTTCCTGCTGATGGTGTGCATTTTTGAAGGGGTAGAACTAATATCATAAGCATATTAAAATAAAGACATCTGCAGACTGGAAGAGGAGCAAAATCGATCATTCCAGCCGCTTTGGAAAGAATTTGATTCTAGAAATTACGTAGAAATGAAAAGATTAATGATGCTGTTAAGTCTGCTTTTGAATTAGAGCGCTTCTCCCTTTGGCTGCAGCAAGGTTGTTTTTCAGGTCCTTTTATTTCATCCGGTAATTTGTGAACTCTGGTCTTCCCCGCACCCGGAGACAATGCTCTGTATTTCATACAATAAGGATTCTGCCAAGGATTGTGCATGCCAACCGACCTGGCATTTATTAAGGATTTATTGACCTATGGGTGTCTCTCTCTCTCTTTTTCTAATTTGAAAAGGCTCAATCGGGGCACCTGTGACTAAATCATAATTTTTGAAGAATAAAAAATGGTTGTAAAGGGGTGGGGGAAGCATACGAATTCACTGGGGAGGCTCCGAATGCAATAGCTACATTTGTATTGGTTTGTGCATATTTCTCGCTACATATGTGTGTGTTCATGGATACATTGCTGGGAGGGATGCCTGGTATTTAAGAGCCATTTGAGATAGATAGATACATAGATATATATTAATAAATTGTCCTATTCCGAGAATGAAAGTGTCCCTCTGCTTTGGAAATGACTAGACAAGACTGTGCTGTATATTGGCAATGTGTGAATTATATCGGCAGTAATAAATAAGCAATTGTTTGTTGGGCTATTTTTTCCTTGGGTCTTTCTCCTTTCTTTTACAGTCTTTCCACCTCTCAGTCTTATTGTATTTCCTTTATTTCCTTTTTTTTTTTTCTTTTTAAATTTCCTTTTCTTTTTTTCTTTTTCTTTCTTCTTCTTTTCCCTATCTCTTCCCCTCTCTTGCTGCTGCTGTGTGTGTGTGTGAGTGAGGGGGCAGGCAGGCGCTGCAGCCAGCGGCAGGCAGCGGGCAGGGATGCTCTCGAGGTGGGATCCCCGCGCGGCGGCTCTCCGCGGACACCTGTAGGGATCGCTCTGGCACGCACGGCGGCCGCGCACACACTCGCACACACTCACAGGCACTCACACCGCGTCCTTGCCTGGCTCCCCCCACCCTCCTCCCCACCCCTGGTAGGCACCACGGGCTCCTGGCAGCCTCCCGCTCCTGCGCCCCTCGCACAGAGGCGCAAATCCCTTCCCTTCCTTCGCCCCGCTCCTCCCGCAGCCGCCCCCTTCCCCGCCGCGCCTCCCGCATTCCCTGCCCACCGCTCCTTTCCCCGAGGGCCAGCCCAGCCCCAACCGCTGCCCCCAAACCCCCGTGAGCACATACTCACATACACACACACACACCGCGCCCCTTCCTCACGCACCCCGTCTCCACAAACCTCCCCCTTCCCCCACTCATCACCCCAGGCCCCCCTCACACACAGCTCTCCTCACTCCCTCTATGTCATTGTCCCCGGGCACGCACGCCGTGTCTCAAACCGCCAGCCGGCACCCGGCTCCCCGCACCCCCCACGCACCCCAAATCCGCTCCATCACCACCTCCTTCCCCGCGGCCGCCCGCACGTCCCCCCCAGCCCTCGGCGCACCGCCCGGGCTCCCACTGGAGCGCAGCCCCACGGCGGCGCAGGGGCAGCGGGCGCCGCCGCCCCGTCGGGCCGCGCAGGGCGGAGCTGTTCCGGGTGCTGAAGCAGGAGCGGCCGCTCGGCGCGGCGCCGCAAGCCACGGCGCCTCAGCCCGCGGCCACCGCCGCGCCCGAGAGGGCCCTTTGGGGAGCGGGGCTGCGGGGGCTCCCGCTGCGGGCCCTCCCGGGAGCTGCTGGAAAATCCCTCGGCTGGTAGCGGCTTTGCCAGAGGTGGCTCCTGCCAGGGGGCAGGGAGGGCGTGGAGGAAACCTGGGGTCTGCCTGCTGCTGGTGGGCACACCTGGCCTCTGCTCGCGAAGTTTGGGGGTGCTCCTCCACTCTCTTTTGCTGCTCTTGCCCACCTCACGTGTGGCAAATAATAAAAATAATCGTGTTGACATTTAGAGGAATGAAATTAAATATAGAGAGAGTAGGAGGTGACTTAGCAGCTCTGAACGTGTCAGGTGCAGGCAGCTGAGGTGTGTGCCTGTTTTTAAAACGTTTCTCCCTGGCAGGGTCATCTCTGCCCCCTCTTCCCACACACGCATGCACATGCTCACACACACACACACACACACACCCCAGCCCAGAAGAGGGCTTGGCAGCAGCTCTGGCCGAGCTATTGTGTCTGCCTAAGTGCTGCTGGCCAAGAAATGTAAGGGAGGGGAAAGGATGAGTGAGGGAGGTGTTGGAGATCCTCTCCTCCATCAGGAGAGGTCTGCTAATATACAGCTTCCAGAAAAGATACAGCAGCTCTGGAGGAGAAAAACAGCGTCTCTGCTGAAACGTTTTGGACGTAGAGACCTCTTCAGAGGATAAGGGTGAATTGTGGCATATATAAAATTTTGAAAACAGAGGGGAGTTGTTCTCTCCTTGTTCTCTTAAGTAAGGGCAGCTGAGTAAATATACATAAAATACTGCAACCCATTTCAGAAGTCTAGCACCTGGGATTAGCTGATCTGCATTATGAATAATGTCAACATCAGAGCTGGCTTGAATTGGATTTTCCCTGTCATAGCAGAAAATACCAGCCCCAGAAGAAACCAGGTGGCAGAGAAAAAAAAAGTGGTTTGAGATTTTCAAAAAGCCTTCTAAGAAACTATTGCAATTCTTCCTCACCCCAGGAAAAATAAACCAGTAGGTGTGCCATGCATGGTGAATCTTTTCAGTTCCTGCTCGGAGCTCTGGACACTTTATTATTTTGACCTGTATTAGAAACAACCACAACTGGGCTTGGTAGCCTCGTCTGTATGACTAGGACCCTGTAGCTTCACAGGTGATGGTGTTTTCACAAATAAAATTAAATAAATTGCAGAATAAACACCATCTTTTCTGTTTAACATTGTTCTTGCAGTAATAAAATGCATTACTGAAATATTTGAAAGTTTTGGAAAGGTAAGTAGTTTACATTTAGATTATACCATAAAAATGTAATCTTGTATAAACATGTATGTTAAGATTTGTGTTTAGCACTGCAACCTATTACAATTTCTCAGTAATTCCAAAATTACAGCAGCATTTTCCTAATGTCCAACACCAGTCGAAATGAAAAAAATAATCACAAACATTCGCTATTGATCAACTTTGTGATTCAACATGGTATTAGTTGTCATTTCTTATTATTCTGTTTCAATTCCTTGCAGATTAGAATCAAAAAACAATAGAGGAAAATCACCTCCCTGGATCTTGGCCTTGGCCTTTTTCAAGCAAAAAGAAGAGGAGCTGCCAGACTTTGCATATCAATTGGCCACTCGGCTGTTTCACAGCTTCTGGGTTTCAATCCCGTTGGGATTGAGGCAGCTCAAGAACCACAAGCGATGAGTCCTGTCATCTGCTGACGCTGCTCTAGCACCATGGCAAACAGGCTGTGATATGACAAGAGGATCCATCCTAGGGAGGCAGCATTGGGATCCATAATTGGCTTCCTGGGAAACTACAGCTGGTGGAGAGGATGTAAAAGGAGGTGCGCATGTGCCAGGATATTGCTACAGCCTTGCCGAGCTGGTGGATCCACTTGGAGGAGAGTTTTGCCACTGATCTTGGGTTTTTTCCCGGTTTGGTAATGTTGGCTTTGGGGAAAATTTCTGCTGACTCACCCACCCCTGGACACCTTTTGCGGAGCGTGGCCGGCCAGTGAAGAGATCCAACGGCACCTTACCCCCACTGCGAGTCCCCTCCGGTGGCCCCTGGCACCATCTTGTGCCCAACCCCATCCCGTGGGGCAGCCGCAGCCCCCCGCCCCGGGGAGTCTCCTACAGTGACCCCCGCACCCGGGGCGGGGGTGAGCGTGCCCGAAGCTTCCAGCGTGGCCAGCGCCCGGCAAGATTTTACCCTGTCTGCCTCCGGGGCCCCGGTGCTGCCCCCCGCCAGCCCTGCCGCCCCGCTCGCCCGCCCCAGGCCGCGCAGGATGGGGGCGGTGCTGGTGCGGCGCGGGGGCTGCCTGCTGCTCTGGCTGGCCCTACTGCTGGGCTGCTGGGCTGAGCTGGGCAGCGGGCTGGAGTTCCCGGGTGCGGAGGGCCAGTGGACCCGCTTCCCCAAGTGGAACGCGTGCTGCGAGAGCGAGATGAGCTTCAACATGAAGACACGCAGCTCCAGCGGGCTGGTGCTCTACTTTGATGACGAGGGTTTCTGTGACTTCCTGGAGCTCATCCTCACCCAGGGAGGGCGGCTACAGCTCAGCTTCTCCATCTTCTGCGCCGAGCCTGCCACCCTGCTCTCGGACACGGCGGTCAACGACAACCTCTGGCACGCTGTTGTCATCCGCCGCCAGTTCAAGAACACGACGCTGATCATTGACCGAGCCGAGGCCAAGTGGGTGGAGGTGAAGTCCAAACGGCGGGACATGACTGTCTTCAGCGGCCTCTTCCTAGGAGGGCTCCCGCCGGAGCTGCGGTCGGCGACACTAAAGCTGACGCTCTCCTCCGTCAAGGACCGGGAGCCCTTCAAGGGCTGGATAACAGACGTGCGGGTGAACTACACGCAGGCATCGCCGGTGGAGAGCCAGGAGGTGCGGCTGGATGACGAGCAGAGCCGGCTGTGCGCCAGGGACGACGTCTGCCTCAACGGGGGCGTCTGCTCGGTGCTCAACGACCAGGCCGTCTGCGACTGCTCCCAAACAGGCTTCCGAGGGAAGGACTGCAGTGAAGGTAAGGAGCCATCTCAGCTCGCCCCATTGACCCCCTCCCCATTGCTCTCTGGAGGGGACGGGTCAGAGGCCAGGCCTGCATGAAGTTTCATCTGTATGAGTGGATCTTCCTCCCTTCCCGCCATGTCCCCGGCCCCCCTCTTCCCCACCTTCTCCTCCATGTCTTCCACGTGTCTCTGTGGCCAACCATGGTGCCATCACTCTCCTGTTCTCTGCGAGGCTGGGTGAGAGGAGGAAGAGGATGTTATCTGAGCATCTTCTGGAGGTGGGGTGGGATTTTGGGTTGTTCTGGGTAAAGGAGAGATGAGTGCTGAGTGCCCAAATGGCAGGGGTGGCTGGAACCACGCTCGGTGGGAGCTGAGGGGGGGGGGTGTGCATGCTTATTGCAAGCAGCTGGTGGTAATTAATTTGGGGAGCAGGGAAAGTGATGCTGGGAAAAATTTAACTGGATTAAGTGCAAAGATGACCTGGGTTTGGTTTTGTAGGGTAGAGGAGACCCAGAGTCCATTTTGTATTTGCCTCTGCTATGTCATTGAAATAAAATTGGTGATTTATTTGTGAATTCCTTAAATTGTGGCCAGGTAGGAAAGGGATTAAACAGAGGATTATGTTTTTACATGAATGTGAATGGTACTGCTTTGCAACATGTTTAGCAATTCATCATGCCAGTTAGACAGGAAGAACGAAGAAGGACAAGGGGGAAGTGCATGCTTCAAGACCACAAAATGACTGAGTAGTTTTACCAAGGAAGAGGGAACCTAGAAAAACAGCAGTTTCTTTAATCTCATCTACAAATAAATCACTGGGTAAAATATGTTCATATTCAGTGCCCATTGTTTTTAGCAAATGGAAAGAATGTGAACGCTTACTTTGCAGATGCATGCAGGACTCTTGTTTTTATTATTTTGTTAGTAAATGTACCATTGCTTGCAGCTCCTTAGACATAGCAATTCCTTACGTTGTGTGCTTAGAGCAGGATGTGAAGGTGTATAAATGAAATAAGAGCAAATGTATCCAGGGAAAATATGATTATCATGTCAAAATTGGAGAGCAAAGACCTAAGTTTAAAATGTAAAAGGTAAATATGAATAAGATATTATCAAGGCCAAATTAAGATCTTTACTTAGTGGCTGCATGGTATTTATGGCTGAATAATTTGCCTTTAGCATTTCTATCAGATTTCACTCATTATAAGAAAGAAAACATCATTTGTGACTGTGTTTTATTATGTAACACCTTCTGTCCTTAGTGTCAATACTCAAAACACAACAGTCATTCTGCATCCTGTTTATCAGCTGTTTATCTCTCATCTGTCATTTGTGAAAAATTTAAACTCTATTACTACACTAAATAATTTTTTACAGGAGCAAATAATTGTTTCACAAAATTAGTCATTTGTACTTTCAATTGCACCCATTCTCAGAAACTGAAAAATGAAATATCTGTTATATTAGGTAAACCATCTCAATTGATTTAATATTTGGGTATCAATTTTTAATATATGACATATACTGCATAATATATAAGTGTGTGTACAATACTGTTTGTTTTAGCATCTCTAAGTTAGGCCCCATTATAAAGAAAAAGAAAATTATGAGGTGCAGCAGCTTTTTTTAAAGCAATAATGTAATTTAAATACTATTAATACTATAATACATTTCTATGCCCTTTACACTAAAACATAGTTTATTTTTTTAAAGTTTTTTTGCACATACTTATGTGAAGAGTTCACACAATTGCATGTAATATCAGTCAGATAAATTATTGCCTTTACATAATAATAGGTTCAGTGGCTATTTTTATGGAACATTTTTATGTTTAGATGGAATGTTAGTGAAATGCATATCTATATATTTATATTTAGTGAAAATCGTATGGAACTTTTAAGAAGATGACACTCAAAATAACATTCAGAATCACCCCCAAATTAAGTTAAAATGCTGACTTCATTTAAGTGCTAGTGGTTTTACAGTTGACATCGGTGGCATCAAGATTCTCCTCAAATGTCCCTTGACTACCGAGAAGCCTTATAAAATATTAGCAAGACTTACAGTTTTAGCAGAAAGTATTCAGATTCTGAATTCATTTGAAACAGGAGGCAGCATTTGCCCTGACAGCAACATAAATGGAACTACATTGCAGTTTATACCTGTTAATTATACCTGAAAAGGTAGCAGTTGGCACTTCCATCAGTCAAGTTTTGATGAAGGGATTAGAAGTTACTCCTATGTGCCAGCAAAGATATTGAACTATTATAAATTATTTAATATTCTAAGAAACAAAAAAGGCAGAAGGACAAGTAAAGCCTTTATACCTGCCAAGAAAGAACTTGGCTTCTGCTCTTTAGATTTAGTAGCCAACATATACATTAAGCTGTTGAGCTTTGATATTTTGTTCCCAGAATGTGTAAATTTCCCATAAGCCTTAGAAAGACATTGCCATTGCTAGAGGATCATCTCAGGCTGCAATTATCTGAAGGGCTCTTTTGAGTTTTTACTCCTACCCTTGTTTTGGTTTTTGTTTGAAAATGGTTTTAAATAGGAAAATCTCCCAATTTTCCATTTTTATCTGAAATTGTAGCCATGTGTCCTAGTTGATACCTATTCTTTAAAGGTGAAAGATAGTAATCAAATTCTATTTTCCTTGAATTTTTTTTAATATATATATATAATCTTTTTTTTGTCTTGGATTTTTTGTTGTTCTATATCTCTGCAGTCTTGTAAAACACAGAGTTCCTCAGTGTAATGAGTGTAGGAATTAGTATCAACAACAGCACAGAAAATATTTTCAAAATTTTCTACCCTGACTTGCACATTTAGGAATTAAAATTAATACATTTAGAGTCAAAGCTTCAAGTCTTAAGATGCCATTTTTAATACAAGTTCAGTTATTTTCAGGAGAAAATCTGGTGGGTTTTTTTCCCAGATTTTCATCTTTGAAAAGCTTATTAATGATCCCTGAAGTAATTGTTTTCTTGTAAGAATGAAGTTCAACCAGGTTGGGTTTAACCCAACCCAGATTGGGTTTTTTGTTTTGTTTTGCTTTTTTAGTTATTTTTGAAAACCCATAGTAATAGAAATTATTTCCAGTAGGCTTAACTGGTTTTATACCTGTTTAAATCAGGAGTAGCTTCATTTAGGTTTTCTGAACTACACCACTGTGAGAACAGTGCAAGCTAGGAAAGAACCAGTCAGTCATTCCTTTTGTTCCAGTAGGATCTAAGTTCTCTTAAATGGGAGCATTGGCATAAATCACAGGAAAAGGACTGGAATTTTGCTGAAGTGTCAAGGATGTGCAGTCCATAGCAAAGTAAAATACGATCTCTCACAGTTCTCTTGTTGATAGGCTCATGAGTAAAAACAGTACAAAAGCCTTCTAAAAGAGAAAGTAAAATCTCTACTTTCTACTGAAGAAGGCAAGGGTATATTATTCCACACAGTAATAATGATTCAGTAGAAGGAAAAATGCACAAAATTATAATGAATTTTATTAGGAATAAGACTTGCATTGAAATAAACCCTGACTGCCATATCAATTTTCTGATAAGTTTTTGACATACATTTCAATTTTCTATTCAGTGATTATTACAATATTTCTGAAATTACTCAAATTCATATGGCTTGGTTGCATGATAAGGAGAGATTTTTATTAAACAGACCAACTCTAAAGTCAGGTTTTTAGTGCATTAAGTCAAGGACCTAGAACATAAGGAGAGTACATGATTCGTATCAGTGAGCCTCCATATTCTTCTTGTAATTTTGCTCGTTAAGATTTCAAAACAAAAAAAAGGAAAAAACAAAAAACCATTAAGTTACTAAAATTTAATTCTGACCTTCTGACTTTAGACAAAAAAAAAAAAAAAAAAAAAAAAAGAATTTTCCTTTCATCCTAATTTATATAAATATAGCCTTGTCCAGTATCCTGTCTGAGAAAATAAGCAGGTAGCTCTAAAAGGGGGAGTAAAATACGTGTGATGCATCGAGTTGGGGGAAGTTTCTCACTGATGCTGACTCCTTGTCACCCCATGCCCTTCTGCTTTTCTGTATCTCTAATGGCTTGAAAAAGTTGTAGACAAGATCCTTTATCTTCTTAAAATATAGCTTCCCTACTTACCTCATTATTAGCATCTATACAGATAATTGCTCTGTGAATACAAACTATTCCTGCTCATAACATGTTGTATTTTGGCTGTTCCACTGAATTTCTGGTTTGTGAGAAAAATGAGCACTGTTCAGGCAGCTGTTCACTGTAAGAGATGCTCTTCCTTGTCAGATATTCAGAGGTTGATGCCAGCCACGGTTTGAACTATGAAAGTGATTTTTGAGGAAGTCAGTTCCAGATGTCTCTGCCTAGCCAGTACTTAGATTTGTTTGTTTGGGTTCTGAATATACTACATCAGTCTTTGTGTTCCCTTTTGCATGTTAACTCTTTTTAAAGCCATCCAATATTTATACCTCTTTGAAATTTTTTATATTTTAATACATTTTGTTCTCTTTATGCCTTGGAGGAAACATTTGAACTTCTTTTGGCATTAATTATCTGTTGCAAGTTGTGAATTTGAGTGAGATGTTGTTGAACTCATTGTTCTATAATCAATCTTAACAGAGTAGTCACCATGGTCTTTATCCCTCTTGAATCCTAGCTGAATGTACTTTGGACTAGTACATACTGTGAACAAAACTTGCCTTTTTGATTTTGATTAGATTTGATTCATTTAATTTTGATTACATTTTGAATTTAATAAAGATTTCAGAGTCTTTATTACATGATCTGTATGTCTTCTGCATGCTAAATTTCTTGTCAGTGCCAGTGGCCACTGGAGTGATGTTGGTTTAGAAGAAGAGCTAGAAATGTACCAGAGATTGTACTGAAGTTCTGTAAATGTACAAATTACGTCAATAATTTAATAATCATTATTTCACTTTAATATTTATTTAATATTTTTAATTGGTGACTTTGTTGTCAGAGTAGAATCTTGAGAGCAGATAGGCAAGTAGAAAA